CTGCTGAAACTCCTTGGCTTTCACTTGGCATTACTACAGGTCCCTCTTGTATCCCTTCTCTTGCATGCCCCAAGGAGATATCAGTGTTTCTACAGCTGGATAAAAGCTGTGCCTGCACACTCTGATCTCCACACAGATCCAGAAGATCCAACACCTCCTGTGTACTTCATGCAGGAGCATGTCTGCAGCATGGAGCTGGCATGGTCAGCTGAGCAGTTGCTAGGCTTTGCTATGTATATTTCCCTCTTGTATCCCTTCTCTTGCATGCCCCAAGGAGATATCAGTGTTTCTACAGCTGGATAAAAGCTGTGCCTGCACACTCTGATCTCCACACAGATCCAGAAGATCCAACACCTCCTGTGTACTTCATGCAGGAGCATGTCTGCAGCATGGAGCTGGCATGGTCAGCTGAGCAGTTGCTAGGCTTTGCTATGTATATTAGATAGTGATTAATTGAACAGTCGTTTAACCACATGAAATCTTAGCAGTTACACGACTATTTGATAGTCTCTGGGGATGGGGCTGGCAGCCAGTGTGCTCCTGGCTTCACTTCTGGGGAGCCCCAACTACCTCATGCTACTACCTCTGATGCAAAGGCAGAAGCATGGGATGGCAGGCAGGAACCAGTCTACAAGGAGAGCTGGTTTAAAAACTGATTCCCCTACCATTCTGTGCTGCTGCCTCTGTTTCAGGCCGTGGTAGCAGCCTCTGTCCATGGTGGGCCCCAGCATCCAATGCAGCAGTGAGGCAGGTGGGGAGGACAGGCAGCTCCATGGAGCTGGCACATGAGAGCTGGCTTAAAAGCTGGCTCCCATGTGTATTGGCTCTCACCTGTCATCTCCTTTTCAGCTGTTACAAATGGGGCACATGGAGAGCCAGCTTTAAAGCTGGCTCCCCACCGGCTCTTGCTCCCTGCTCCCCCTTGCTGCCTCTGTGGGTATGTCTAGACTACAGAGGTTTTTTTTAAAAAAAACGGCCCTTTTTTCGAAAAAACTTTACCTGCGTCCAGACTACAGTCACGTTCTTTAGAAAGTAAATTGAAAGAACGCGGTGCTTGTTTTGAAATTGGTATACCTCTTTTTATGAGGAAGAACACCTTTTTAGAAAGAGCTCTTTCAAAAAATGGCATGTGTGGATGCAGAGGAGGCAGTTAAAAAAAAAAAGGCCTGCCAGAAGTGGTTCCGCATGCCCTTTTTGCGAGAGAGCATCCTAGCAGTTTGGAAACTGTCTTTCGAAAAAGCAGATCACTTTTTCGATCCGCTTTTGTAGTCTGGACGTTCTCTTTCGAAAGGAGCTTTTTCGAAAAATCTTTTTCGAAAAAGCTTCTTTCAAAAGAAGCTTGTAGTCTAGACGTACCCTGTTAGATTTCATGTAATCAATTGATTCCTTTATGATAGTGATGCAGTTAGGAATGTTGTACTCCTTCCAGCACTTCCTGAAATCAAGTGTTTCATCATCTTCCAGTGTATTACCAATCTGAACAAAGGTGTGCCTGGTGTAGTAGGCTTTAAAAGTAGCAATCACATTCTGGTCGAGAGGCTAAATGAGGGAAGTTGTATTAGTTGGCAAGAAAACCACTTCCACGTCAGGATGGGAAAATTGCAGAGTGTTTTTGAGTGGCCTCAGGCATTGTCCAAGATGAGTAGCACTTTGAAGGGCAGCCCTTTGGACCAAAGGTATTTTTCTACCTCACAGATAAAACAGTTGTGAACCAGTCCAAAAATACATCAGCTGTGACCCAAGCCCTTCTGCTTGATATTCAAAAAATTGGCAAACAGAGTTTATTCTTAATGCCCTGGCGCTCAAAGTGCGGGAGCAACATATTTTTTAACCATGCAGTCTCCTGTGGCATTAGGACAAAGGAGAAGGGTTAGTCTGTCTTTCGCTGCCTTGAAGCCTGAAGCTGTCCTTTCCTCCTTGGAAAGGTATGTTCTTTTGGGTATCCTTTTCCAAAACAAGACAGTTTCATCTGCATTGTAAAATGATTGGGGCACATAACCCTTTTCCGCAATAATTTTAAGAACCTGTGAGGGATAATCCTGTACTGCTTTATGGTCTGCTGGCACCGATTCCCCCATTAACTTCACATTATGTAAACTGTGCTTCTTTTTAAATGTCAAACCACCCCTTGCTCACAGTGAATAACACTGCACTGTCATGATTGTCATGACTTCCCCATTCTACACCCAAGGCTTGCGCAAAATGCTTGCACAAGCTCAAAGCCTTTTGTCGAATTACAACACCATTTGTAGGTGTTCATTTTTGTGTCATATCTTCAATCCAAATGCTTAATGCCTTTTTCATTTTCTCAATTATGTAGGAACACAACTCACACATGATACCTTTGCAGAAGCTGACCCATTTGCAGCAACACTGTCCCTTATGTTTTTCTCCTTTTTTTAAAACATAAGACATAGAAAATTTAATGCTGTTCATTCTAGCTACTCAGGCTGCACTACGACCACTTACAAGTTTATCCAATAATTCAATTTTGTGGCTTACAGTCATTGCCTTTTTCCCCTTCTTAGCCTCTTGACCACTGTCTGCAACACTCACTTTTCTTTTTGGAGCTATAATTAAGGATATTTGTTACTTTAATTATTGTAATTTTTTTTACTAGAATGCACTGAAAAAACATCAGTTCGCTGCATCATGTGCTTAGACCAATGTCACACAGTGCACCACAAATAGGTGAAGCAATGAACAGCAAAACCGTAGATGGGCAGGGCTTCATGTACATCAACCTAACCACCATGCCCCTTGCTTAGGTGGAGTTTTAAGTTGGTATAGCAGCTGAGTTACATAGGTCAGAATGACATTTTAATGTAGATGCTTACAGAGTTAGGGCAATGTAAGCTGCCTTACATCTACTTAATTGTAGTGTAGACCAAGGCTACGTATGACTGTGACTGCACAGCACCGTTATTTCGTCTACACCCACAGTTATTTTGACAGAATGTTGAGGCTTCTGGAGGATCTTACTCTGACTCCTGTAACCCTCATTTTACAAGAATTAAGGAAGGTCAGAGGAAAAGTGCTCTATTTTGAAGTAAGTGCTGTGTAGGTCTGGCCAAATTTGAAATAAGCTATTTCAACGTAAGCTCTGAATTTAGCATAGCTCAAATTTCATAGCTTATTTCTAGTTTAGCCCTGCTGTGTAGATGTGTCCTCACTTACCAAAGTAAGGCTCTGGTCCCTGAGTGAGCAAAGCACTAAAGCATATGGTTGAATTTTAAGCACAAGTGATCTTACTGATGTCAGTGTGAATAACCATGTGCTTTAAGGCTTTGTCTATTCTGAAAAGTGGCAGTGCTTTAAACTAAAATTGTGGCCATAGCATGAGCACTGGCAGAGCGATCTTCCAGTACTCTATGTAAACCCCCTCCACAAGAGGAGTAGCTACTGCACTGTAGACTGATTCACATTGGCCTTTTATAACACTGTAATTTGCTGTGCTTTGGTGGGAGTATTTTTTCACATACCTGAGCCAGAAAATTTACAGCACTACAAAGTGCTAGTGTAGACTTAGCTGAAATTGAGCATGTGCTTATGTGTTTTGTTGGCTTAGACAGAGGCTAACCCATTGTCACTGGCATCTGAACTTTTAACATCTCTTTCTTCCTATAGAACAAAACAGTTTCTCTTTTATTCTTTCACGTTTGTAAATATTTTACGAATTGTTTGTAAGAGGAAGAAAACACTGTGTGTGAAATCTGTGTAGGACATGTCTAGTCACTGAAGTCTTGTAATTCGGGCATTTCAAATTCATTTGCTAGATTGCTCATACTCTTTTAAGGCTGTTCTTTGCACTAAAAGAATGTGCTAAATACTGTAGCAATTAGTGTACTATTAGTAACAGTAAACAAACACTTTATTTTAAATGACTGTGTGTGAGTATAGAGCTGGTTTATTAATCCTGGCGGGTTCAATCCTGCTTCCCCCATTATTCCACAGAACAGATGCAATATAGGCAACAGTAGTGCATGGTTTTCTGAAACTGCCATTCCAGCGTGCTTCAACACTTCCTTGGAGGGTTCGTATCTGGGAAAGAAAGGATAGTACAGTCTCCATGTTTACCGTTCCTTAGTGCCTCTGCTAAGGCTGCCCAAAAGTGCCAATTATTGTGATGATTTGTGTGATGTGTGGATCCACTGGGAAGCGGAGAGGCCATCCACTTTATCTCCACAGGCCATCAAACAGCTTTCATGGCAATAACTTTGGCTCACTGCTGACGTGGGCTGCATCATAACTGGCAACCTAGGTTGGCCCAATTTCCTGTGAGCGATTCCTCTAGCCATCCACTCCCCCAGATAAATACATTCAAAGCAATAATGATTATGGAAATCTTAGCTCCCTTAGCTTCCCATTGCTCATGTGTCCCAAAATTTCACTGTTTGATGTATCGGACTTATTGATAATCTACCAACAGTTAATATTTTTTTCTTCTCAATAGGCTTATATACTGGACAAAGAGAGTAAACATTTCTTTGATGTAGAAGATTTCCATTGTCCTAAAATGCCAGAGTTCTATGATAGGTGAGTACTAGTGCATATGGCTACTGCAAGGAGAAATTAAAGACTTATTTTAGTTGTGGCTGAAGTGAGGATAACTTAATTTTCTTATTATTGCTGTACACTTTCCTAAGAAGAGACCCTAACCATCATTTCATTGTGGGGTGCCTTTTTCTTTGCAGTTATTCCCAATTTCTGTCCTGGTAACTGTGTCATCAGATGCCACAGCCAATAAAAAGTCCTAATGACATCACTTTAAGGAGGATCCAGATGTGAATATCTTTCCTGTACTGACCTTTGTGGCACCATATTTCCCCTCATACATATCCTGAGGAGGACACTCTATAGATCAGAGTCCACCTGAGGAGAGATTTAAAAGTGAGATTTGGGTGATGTAATTGTTCCCTAATAACTAATGATAAATGTATTAAAAAGTGCATTCAGCCTGTGTTTGTATGGAGCTCCCTTCATACCGGTCTGTTCCCTTGGGGGTTCTAAGGACAGCTGCCAGACAGGGGAAATGCTGCCCATTCTTGAAAGAAGGGCAAGAAGGCCTGTAGATGGAGCAGGACCTTAGGTAATAATTGTGACTTAATATGCCTACTTTAATTCTTAGCCTACTTGGTGAAAAGTGGGTAGAAGTTCAGGAGTTGTCACAATGATCTGGTATATGAAACCGGTTAAGAAAGGATGTGAGAAGGAAACAGAGCAACTGAATTTCTTTAAACAGAAAGGGTCTACTATTACCACTGGTAAACAAGAGAAGTTGAGACTCAGAAATCAATAAACCAATACATGTGTGTGTTGGAAATTAGGCTTCATTGGTGGACATAATAATGAGAGGATGGATTATTGCGTTGCCTAAGTGGAACCCTTATCAACAGACTTTTTTGGGGAAATGGGGATATTTTTACCATCAAAATAGCTGTGTCAGGATTGTTGCTATGACATCAGACTTTTATACTCCAGTGGGGATATTTGACCATCATGTTGCACAAGTAAGGACCCCCAACCTGATACAAGTGAGATTTTACTTTGCCTTCCTCTTTGTTGTGTACTCCTTTCTGTCCCTCCCATGTTCCTCCTGTCTTCCCCTTCCCCTTTGCTTTTCACCAAATCCTGAAATTGGCTGTACTGTACAGCATCAGCACATTGGGATGAGATAGCCCATCCAGCTCTGCTGACCCTGAGTAGGACAAGTGAGGAACAGGGACCTGACCAGAACAACCAGATGATTTACCAGAGCCCGGAGGTGAGCCAAGATACAGATCAACAGTTGTTGTGAGTGATTTGTCAGCCCAAAGCATCTGTCTGTGGTTGACTAGCTGCCATGTAATCTGAGAACATCAACAAAAGCCATATTTGCCCCATCAGTATTATTTTGTCTCTTCTCTCCCTTTCTGTGTCTGTTTTGCCAAAAGCAAGAAAGTGACTATAGTTCCTAAATCAGAACTGAGCAACAGAACTAACCCCTTTCTTTAGTGCTATGAAGGAATGTTTCACTAACTAAGGGTATGTCTACACTACCCTCCTAGTTCAAACTAGTGGGGTAATGCAGGCATACCGCACTTGCAAATGAAGCCCGGGATTTGAATTTCCCAGGCTTCATTTGCATAAGTGGGGAGCCGCCATTTTTAAAACCCCGCTGGTTCGAACCCCGTG